ACCTAAATATTAAAGGAACAGGGCCTCATGGGCATTAGTGATGAAAATGCTGAGTTTATTCACTACTATATTTGTCTCTCCTGCACCTGACAGGTGGTGAGGAAGATCCAGTCATGCGGCTTACACCTGTTCCTCCTGGTGTTGAGGAGAGAGGAGTATGAACAGGTACTGTATTAGGATTACCGTGACATTTTCCCATCACTCCCTTCCTTCCATGTGGTAAAGACAATAGGCTGCTTTCATAGCAGACATGATGTCTTCTCATAGCAACACAGGCACAGGTGAAAAGTCACAAAACAAGATATCTGATTTGATTAATTAAAAAATGATCAACAGATTCATTGAATAATCATTAGTGCAGCCCTATCTTTCCCTTATCACCAGGCCAATCTCTAAAGAGTTCTCTTCATTAAAAGTGGATTATGGCTGCACGTGGGTTGCACTTGTGCCAGTGTGTCATATTGTACACTTTATTAAACTGATTGGCAAGTCTTACACAATACAGTATTACTAAAGCTGCAAGCAGCGATGAACGGGCCCTTGCAGTCTCTGTGCCAAGCGATGGACAGATGCACAGTTACATATAACACATCTTTTAATCGTGATGATCTTTAGATTGCATTGACCCAATTTGAAGTCGATACAATCAATTCCCAAGGAGCAGTTTGTTAAAGTTATGCGTATGGGTCCAAGCCTTTTGTACGTCTGGTTTGATTTTCATACATATTGGTGTAACATGTCTCGGGTGCTGCGTTTAGGTGTTGTTGTCGAGCCATTTTGCCATACCAATGTGCAAGACCCATATAATCTGTCCATTTTTGCTACAGCAAAGACACCTGCGTTGCAGACACCAAAAATGCAATCCTTTTGGCAGAAGAAGAATAATTCCTTGCATATAATACATTGTTCCTGAATTGAATCATGCTGATGTCTCTCTTTTCTCCAGGCAGTGTCTGTTGGTGTGGACAGGCAGACTCTGGCCAAGGCCTCCAAAGGGGGCCGCTGCTCTCGACCCAGACTGTGTCACATCAGTAGACACCCGGAGCATGGTCTGGGGATGGCCACCAACTCAGTGGAAGGTAAGGTCATTGTTTGACAGAGTGTTGACTATTCATTTACAGCTTCTCTGAGGCAATACACAGAGATTCTGTGGCGTTTCACAAAAATGCCAACCAGCACTGATCCACAGAGCATTAATGATTCACTTCCTTCTACTCTTTTCTTTTTGTTCACCCTTGCTCTGTAAACACCTGCATAAAAAGGCCACAAGGCTGGATTTGTATTAAAGTTAATACTGTCTTACACTTTTTAAATTTCTTGATAAAAAGGTTATCCATTTGCCTAACTTTTCTGTCTCCATCTATAGCACAGGTTGCCAGATGCGTCTGGTTTACATCTCTTCATCAAAGCAGACAGCCTCATTGTGATGAAATTACTACATTTACACTAATGTTTCAGTATTATTCAGAATATGACAATATTCCTCATTTGATAAGGGTCATGTAAACAGCATATTCCTTTCGGATATTTCTTATTGGGCCTCTTGTGGGGTGTTCCCGGTCTGAAGTTGTCAGTACCTAGTAAAAATGGTCTAAGTAATGAACATATATACATAGACAAATATACATACATTATATACATAAATACGTATATATGTGTATATGTATGTATATATGTAAATATATATATATAGGGATTTATATGTCTTTATTAGAAAGTAACGTAGTCACTGTGAAGCTGCACCCTATCACTTACTGTCCAAGAAGTAGTTCTGCACTATTAGCTTTACATTTCTGTTTTTACAGATTGAAGATTAAACAAAAAAGATTTAACGTGTCATTCAGTGACCTTAATTAGTTGGTAGGTGTGTTTTTGAATGTTCGACTGGGCTAGGCTAGCTGTTTCCCCCTGCTTCCAGTCTTTATGCTAAGCTAGGCTAACCATGTCCTGACTCCAGCTCTGTACTAAAACACTCACACACACTTGATCTTCTCATCACTCTGAGAAAGAAAACTGTATTAGTACCCAAAATGTTGAAGTATTCCTAAAGGAACCTATTAACAGCTGAAAATTACTATCTCTGGTTTATACGTACAAAGTACAGCAGCTTTATACCACACCATACTGAAGATTCTGATTCTGATAATAGTATTGATGTGTCACCAGGTCAGAAGGGCCAGTATGTTGTGAGCACAGTGACTGATGGTCCAGCAGAGAGAGCTGGTGTCTGCAATGGAGACAGACTGATCTGGATGAATGGAGTCATGGTGTCAACGCTCACACACTCTGTCCTCAGCAGAACTGTAAGAATCCAGTTTCCTCAGTCAGATCAGATCTAACTGCTGCAGTTTGTTAGACTGAACATGTGTGTGAGTTCCGCAGTGTGTTTGGTTGTCAGGTGAAAAAGAGTGGGGAAGTGACAGTGCTCGTCGTTGACAGTGAGAGTGAGTGCTGCTACCTCAAGAGAAAGATGCCCATCCTGCCTGTGCTGGCAGAGTGCAGCCGCCTCCCACACACTGCCAAGACAATGTGTCTGGTTAAAGGACGCGATGGATACGGCTTCCTGCTGAGACAAGAGAAGCTGGCAGGCACTAAACAGATAGGTGAGAGATACACTGATGGACACGTGGCAACAATCACATCCATACACAGACACACACACAAACTCACTCACCTCAAGAGCCAGCTCACCATTTCATAATGTCATAATGTGATATAATGAGTACAGATTACACAAATATAGCGGGGAACTGAGATAACAAAAGCATAATTTGAAATCTTCACAGCTCTCTCTTGACATCGACTAAGTCTTTCTATTTGTTTGTTGATCCTGTGTGTGTCTCAATCTGCAATATTCAGTCCCTCCAAGATTTCACAGCATGCATAAGCTTAATTACCACTCCCAGAGTTAGCAATAAAAAGATGGTACCTTAAAGGTCCAGTGTGTAGGGTTCCATGGCATCTTACGGTGAAGTTGCAGATTACAACCAGTACTGGTTACCTTCCAAGTGTGTAGGAGAAATTATGGTGGTTGCGAACTTGCGAAAGACAATGGTTTGTCCATTCTGGGCTTCTGTAGAAACATGGTCGTTCAACATGGCGGACTCTGTAGAAGAGGACCCTACCCTCTGTAGATAAAACCGGCTCATTTTAAGGTAATAAAAACTAGGGATGGGGATCGAAACCCGGTTCTATCAAGGACCCGGTTCCACTTTTTTCAAAACCCGAAAATCAATAACGTTTGGGCTTATCGATACCACTATCGAGTCTCGTCGT